CGAGCAGATCGTTGCCATGGCGAAGCTGGAATTTGACCATCTCGGTGGCGGCACGTAGGTACGTTAGCTCCTGCTCCTGGACTTCACTCACTTCTTTGATCAGGTCTTTCAGCAGCAGGGCGTACTTACTCATGCGCTGGATGGGCTTCAGCAGGTAGGACGCCAGGTCCATCTTATCCCCCAACTCCAGCTGCTTATGCTGAAACAGGAGAGATTTTTACAGTTTCAGCCCATGAGGTGAAAGGAATGTGCTTTGAGCAGTTCAACATAAGTGGAATAAACTCCACACCCAGATTAAAAGTCATGTAAGATTTTATTGAAAAACTAAAAGGTTATCATAAGTGGTTTAAAGTGTAGCATTGGTTTAGTTACTCACCCTGAAGAAGCTGTTTCCATGACTGGCCAGAAGTGTGTCTGACTTTGGCTTGTTCTTGCTGTATAAAGCATACAAGCTGAACTGGTCTTGCTATGTTCATATGGAAAAAACACAAAAGAGAAATATTTTAAGTGTTATCATCCACATTTCCTTATTCATGTTCTGAAGAATAATTCTCTTGTTGTTCCGGAAATGGAGGGAGGGAGCATTTTCCCAAATTATTTCCTAGGTTGAATTTTGTTGGAAATACTTTTTTTGTGTTTGGGTAAATTGTTTTATAATGACTTTCAGGTTCATATGGAGTGTGCAGTAATTTCAGGGCAGGTTTTGCCACGGCAGAAATATGTCATAAGTGATTTTAGCATAGTAGGCCATTGCTGTAGGCCAAACAGCCTACCTCTGTGTTTTTTTCTGTCTTTTCTCTGTGAATCAGGTGAACCAGCACTATGAGTTTACCACAACTAAAGAGAAAATAAAGGAGATATAGGCTGGTGGTCTTGCACTCATTTAAAGACCTCAGAATCACTTCTTATGGCTCGGTTTGATTCTCATATTCATAGAGCGTGAAAGGAAGAGAGAAACGAAAAAACAGAAAAAGTACTTTTCTGGATGGTTTTAGACTTGTGACGAGTCAAAAATGAGTC